AATATTCAACATATGATTTGATTACCTAAATTTTGTTAATAGTTGTCTAAACACCAGAACCCCTGACCCTCAGGGATTACAAGTTTTTACAATTTTGGAAGAAGCACCTTTGCTTATCATAACTATGCACTATGTTCTGTCATCTGCTCAATGCCAAGGAGCAGACAAACTTATTTAATAGAATTAATGCATTTTTACTATTTTTTCAATAGATCCCAATCTTACACCAGAACATCTGACTCAGGGGCAATGAAACTCATAATTCTGGAAAGCCCCCTTGCTCTTCATAACAATACACTTAGTTTCTTTGCTTTAAAACCAGGAGCAGAAAAGAATATTTTCAAAGAAATTATGCATTTTCACTATATAGTCAATAGAGCCCCCCCCCCCTCCCTTTTCACCAGAACCCCAGGGGTCAGGAATTTCACAAAGCAGAGGAAATTTTCGAAGATTTAATGAACTTTAACTACGATATATAAACAATAGAGCCCCCCCTCCCTTTCACCAAAACCCCTGACCCTGGGCCCACAAATTTCACAATTTTGGAAGAGGCACCCTTGCTAACATAACCATATTGTAACCCCTAAAAAAAACCTCTCGTTATATTTACAATAAAAATTTTACCTCTAAAAGATTTTGTCCTGTCCTGCAAGACTTCATTGTTTTGTTTTTGAAACACACATTTATTTCCCACTACCATTTTTAAATTACCAGTATGCAGAATGCAAAAATAATTATTTAATAAAGACTATGATGGTGAAAAGAAACTCCTAACTGTGAAAATTAGAAAATTAAATTAGACGAACTTCTACAGACCCTGAAACGTGCTACTACCCCACACGCACGCTGCACGAACGGTACACGCTCGCTACACGGTTTGCACGAAACGCTGCACGGTTTACACGAAACGCTACACGGTTTACACGAAATGCTTTGCACGAAAGGCTGCACGGTTTACACGAAATGCTGCACGAAACGCTTTGTACACGTTTCTCACACGCTTTGTACACAATTCTCGCACGCTTTGGCCTCGATCTGGATTTTCAATTCGGAATCTCTCGGGCATTATTTATTTTTTACGGGTTGAATATAGATTAATTAAGAGTCGAAATCTTTCACAGTAAGTTTTAAATTAGAACTCGCTACACCTGTACTACATGTTTATAAACCGATAGAAATATTAAAAGTTTAGTGGTTAATAATTCATGATTGTCATTCCGTTTGTAATCCGCTTGTTTTAAGGTGATATGCCCATCATCGTTAGTGTATATGCTTTTTTCACTGAAGTCTAAATTATACACTGCAAGAAAAACATTTATATTTGTCCCTCATAATTTCTTTCGGCATCAATTTTATTTTTAAGTATTATGTTAAAAACTCGTTTATTACTGAAATATAACTTTAGTAATTAATTTTAATAAATATATTGTACTGTGTTTATTTCCATGAATGGATTGATTTTCTTATGATTTAGCAATAAGTTTATTTTATTTAATTAATTCAGGTTCCCTCTTTAATATGCAAGTACATTGGAGAAAAGAGGATGATTGTGCATTTTTGGGGGGTCAGGGATGAGGAGGGGGGACCGAGATCTTACTTGTGTATTTGTAAATCTGACATGGCTAAAGACCACCGTCAGTCATTTCAGTAATTATACTATCGGGAATAAATAAAATAAAACATTTTATACCAACTTATAGTTTTAACATTTAAACGTTTTATTACAGAGTTAGAATTATAATTCTATATGGAAGAATGGAAGAAACACCCATGGGGAGGGGGGTATAAAGGATAATTAGCTCTCTCTACATGTACCTAAACTGACAACAGTATACATGTACCCATTACCTTGAAAATTCCTTCATTATAAAACTCGGTAGAAGGGAACTTTAATGTAACTTACAAATAGTCACGGCACAACTTACCATGCAATGTTCGTGTATACATGTCTAAGTACATTACATGTAAACTCAAAATATTTTTAAAAATACAAATGAAAGCTGCCTGATTTATAAAACAACTGATATGTAATTATTATTTATAATTTATTTCTAAACTTTTTTTTATTATGACTTCCGAACAATCCACTGTTCACGGAAATTCGGGTCGATTAAAAATAAAATCCACGGATATTATGTGCACCCATTAAATAAAAAAAAAATAAGCATTTAATATCACAAATTTAATCTCAATCGTTATTCTCGGGTGTATTTTAGCCATGATTGATAAAAGATAAAAGCAGAACAAGTTTCAGTTCCCTGCCCGTGGAGTCTGTGGTCGCTGTCGTAAATGACCTTGATCATATTCGCACATTGCAAATGGGAAGTTGAAGATTTAAAATATTCCAGTATATATCAGGTTGGCACCTGATGCACCACATGAATAAAGCATTTATTTCTTGATACAAAAGAAAGTCAATTATGCTTTTTAACACCGTTACCGACAATAATTGAAATTTAAAGCTTGCGTTTTTGAAATGTGCCCCCCCCCTTTCGGTAATTTCTAATCCTGCGTTCGTATATGCATGTGAATTATACTCAAATATTTTAATTATTAATCAACCAATGCTATGTGTTAGAAGACTATTAATGACACACAGTTTTGATTAAAATTATTGAATACAATCTGGTAATAAATAGACAAGAGAGAAATCCTGATAAAATTTCGTTTGTTGCTTTCTTTGGAAAATAAAATTAAAAAAAGCTGTGATCACTCCGATTAAGCATTAAGGACATACACAACGTACCTTACCTACTGATAATTTTTCAAGATATTCTCAATTTAAGATTATAGTGCCATCAGATGTTCATGGACAAAAAATCAGCATGCATTACCAGGGGTTTTAAATAATTGTCTTGTATAATTCAAAGAAAAATTTACAAAAATTACTAAACATATATTCTAGATGTTTTGTTTATCCAAACTTGTTCTAGAAGAAGTGCACAACAGCATATATAGACAATAAATGTAGCACTCAGTTCCTTTAAGTATTGGAACTCTTCAACTCCAGGGAAAAAGGCAATAAAGTTCAAACTACGTTGCGTATGTCCTTAAAATCAATTCATTAAAAATGTTGTACGTACACTGTAATTACATGTTGTTAATTTGAATTAACTCTCTGTCCATCTTGGAGAAATAAAAACGAAAAACTAATTAAATAAACATTACCGTATAATTTTATTTTGTTGGTCTCATAATTTTTGTTTAAATTTCACTCTTAAAATACATCCAGTATAATATCTCCGAATAATATGAGCTATAAACACTATATGACATCCTGACCCATCGATAGCCATATTTAAAGTGAAATGACTTCCGAATGATTCGTATACGTTTCTCACACGATTCTTGCACGAAAGTCGCACGTTTCTCACACGGTTCTTACACGAAAGTCACACTCGCTACACGGTTTGCAGGTAACGCTTTGGAGCTTACACGAAACGCTGCATGGTTTACACGAAACGCTGCACGATTTGCACGAAACGCTGCATGGTTTGCATGAAACGCTACACGGTTTGCACGAAACGAAAAGCGCACGAAAGTTACACGCTTTTTTGGGGTAGTAGCACGTTTCAGGGTCTGTATGACAATGCCACAGGCCACAATGCTCATCTGAGAAATTTATGGCCCTGCTGGTCTACATCAGCAGAACTTCTTGATAAAAATCTCTTCTTTACTTTGATTCCATATTGTGGACTCAAATCTAGCCTTAAGAGGGCTACTATGATTTATTCAAAGTTGAATCCACACAACTTTGGATTGATCAATATCAGGGTTCGACACTAACGTTAGTCCGTTACTCTCAGACTAATACATTTTCATTTGGACTGATAAAATCTGTGGCTAATTAGTCTGAACGGACCAATAAAAATTTCTGGAAAACAAATTGAATAAATTAACGATGTTCGATTCTCCACAACTTTTACTGGAAAACCCCGCATGTATTTTTAGCTTTCTAGCTTCTTGGCGGGTAGTTAAGTAATTCCGAGCCAACTTGGCGCTTTCTTTTAGAACTGATTGATATGAAACTAAATATTTTAGCGATCATAATTTAGTATAACACATAAAGATGTTTTGGATGATATGTATAACATTAAAGAAAACAGAACAAGATCGGGAATACGATCGCACTTCCTGATCGCGAGATTTTAACAAATGCTTTGTTCATTTCCAAAAAAAAAAAAAATTCATTATGTTAATTTTAAATTAATCGTTATTAAACATTGACGTTTCTTTTTTTTTTTTGAAGGACTCGTAAAATCGCGTGCGGATTAGTAAAAGTATTGAGGCACTAGTCCGGCCGGACTAAAGCCTAAAAATGTAAGTGTCGAACCCTGAATATGACTAACAATATGCCCTGTTAATCTAGTCAGAAATAGCTGACATTTTCCAGGCTTTCTTCATGATTTTGAACCATTGGAAAATTGCAGAACTGGGGCCATAATGAAGAGTCGAAATTTGGCCACCTCCAAGTGAACTCACTTGCAAATCAAATCAAATGTCAAACACACCAACAACTTATTAAGGACATTGGCAAGGTTCCTGGATTCTGTATAGAATTTGTTGAAAAATCTTCTGAAGCTGTAATGGTACCCAACATCTTTTATTCTGGCACTTTTTACCTACCAATCCACCCTTATTTTTAAGATTTTGTAAAATAAATGTTTTTTGAATTGTCAATGCATTTTCTATGTAAAAAGTTCATAAAATGAACTTGCAAAATTTTTAACCATAGGATTTTTACAAAACCCATATATTTCATTCTGTTCATATTATATATACATTATTGTATTCCTATATCTTATGGCATTTGGATATTTTGGCTGAAAATGCAAATATAAGCTAGAAGACAGACATACCAGCACTGTTATTTCTATTTGAGTTACTTCCCTTAGCATCCATTATAATAAAAGGAGAAATAAAAAACTGTTTGACTGTCTGTATTGTATCATTCATTTGAGTATGAAACATGTTTGTCATGAAAATACTGGCAGATATTTTTAATAATAGTTTTGTTTACTGTTACTGAGACTTGGTTTCCCAGTGGAAGTTGTCTCTGAAAGCACTTGATGTATACCACAATCTCTGTCTCTATCATATGCCAACTGAAGATGGGCCAACCCAAGACCAGATTTGGAAATCTTATTTGCAATCACCTTGGAAATAATTTTATTTTCCAGTAGATATGACAATGAATTGGTATTGTCTTGCACAGTATTCTGAAATTGTATGACTTCCATGTATGATTGGAAGGAAAAACTGTTTTCTTGTAAGATATGATTGTTGAACTTCTGTGCTTTTACGAGATGTAAAAGTGCTCTTGAATCAGATGCAGCATCATGGGCACTGTAGTTTTCATGAAGAAGATCCTTTACGAGATCGACCTGCTTGTATGAAGTGCGTTCTGGTAACTGTTTCCTAAACAATGGAAGTGTGTCCACAAATCCACAAATCAATTTTGAAGCAGGAATACTCTTTTCTGTTGCTAATAATATACGGCAGAAAATACAAGCATCAAAACGAGCATTGTGGGCCATCAAGACAGGTTGTGAAATTTTAGACAGCCAGTCTAGGAAGTTTTGTATTCCTTCTTCTGTAGATGTTGATGGAACGTGATATCCTTCTTTATACATACTCCCTCCTGAAACAGCTAATCCTGTCACAGCAGTTGCAGCAGGTGAAATGGGTTTAGAAGGCAACATATACTGGCTAAAAATTTGTCCCTCAAATGCAGCACCAATCTGTGTGATATCACAGTCTTTACCTACAGAATACAATGAAAGAAAAAACATGTAAAAGTATTATTATACATGCAAATACTTATATAAAATGGATCAAACTAAAAATAAGCATTTTTATATACAATGTACTTGTACAGTTTAGGCAAAGTAAATGTAAGAATATGAGAAAATCAATTTCTAGTACATTGACCCATATATGTACCTACCAAGTCCAGTTGTTTCCAGATCAAAAGAAACATAGGAATAATCTGCACTTGTCAATTTTTGGCAGGTTGGTTCAGTAAGTGGGTGTGGAATTTCAATGATGTCATGATTATTGTTGTTCAAATCAACTGCAGTATTGTATGTTTCACCCTCACGTAGTTCGCACCCTTAGCAAAATCAAATTGATTGAATTTTGATTTATTTTGTAGTTGTTTTCTGAGCATTGGATTTTCATTGTTTTTTGATTTGCAAAGAAATCAACTGTGCCTCCTTGCTAAATTGTATGGGAAAAAAGCATTGAAATAGCATTGAACATTGGATTTTGATTTATTTTGCATTGACTTTTGATTGAAAATGGCTGGATTTTTGCGAAATATGTAAATGAGATGAAGGATTAATCTGACGTCACGGAAAAATGCAAAATCAATGCAAAACAAATGAAATACAGTATGAAGCATTTATTTGATGTCACTTAGCATTATTGTGACATCACAGAAAAATGTTAAAGTAATACATATTAAAACATTTAAGTGATGTTATGAAACTTGAGAAGTAACATAGAATAAATACATATGGTAACAAACAATATCCAGCATCATGCTCAATGCAAACATTATTACTAATAATCCATCACATGTATCTTTACCAAAATTTTGAATACTTATCTTAAAAATTCACCAGTACAGTTATAAATTCAAGTAAATGAATTACTAACTTCCATGTAATGTATCCATTATTTGTATGGCATCTACTTCAACAGCACCATCTTTTCATCACCTTCAATATCACTTGTCTGTCACAAAACAACACTAGCTGTCTTCATCATTCTTAGATTCTACACAACTTTTTGCCATAATTTGAATAGTTTAGTCCACAGGGAAGAACACAACAAAATGTTGATCATTTCCATCAAAGTACATCATGGCTTCTAGCTTGTCTGGATGCAGCGCCAGCAGAATTTGAAATGGCTGATAAAGTGATGTAGAGTAATCACGTGATTTTTATCAGCCTCTCCCTGGATATATTTACAGCTGGTCAGCACTAATATAACCAGCAATATACACAGCTGATAAAGCTACCATTTATTTCTGAATCAATGCTTCAGAAAATAAATACAAATTCAATCATAGATTTACCAAAGAGATCAATTCATGTGTAATTTGTTATTGGTATGACATCATATAAATTCAAAATAAATGCATTGAAACAACATTTATTTAAAAAATCAAATTTCAATCATTCCAAAATCAATGGTCTGAAGATTTTTGAATTGGATTCAATCAAAAATAAATGCATAACCAATGTTCAATGTATTTTCAAGACAAATAAAATCAAAAATCAATGCAAATATAGCATTTGTTTTTGCTAAGGGCAGGTTTTCTGCTTGGTACTCCGTTCCTCCTTTTTTATTCATCTATTTCGTTTATATTTCAATGTTTTTTCTCTTTCATTTCCCATATCTCTTTTCCTGTCATTCTCTTGGGAAACCTTTTTGGTTACTTCACCAGGGGATAAAAGAACAGACTCACAAACCTGCAAATTGTTATTTCTTGGTAAATTTTCAATTCAAAAACATTTTTAAAAATATAATTAAATCTTATTCTCCATAACATATATTAAACACATTATACAGAATTTTTATATCATAAAAATTATGTCATAACTAGAAATGTTTACCTCTGATACATATCCATATCCTAAGTTCTTTTGTGCCACTGCAGCTGCAATTCGAAAGTCGTTACTTTCTGAACCTGAGTAAAAATGGGCCTTTGGAGCTTTACTGGATATAGTGTTGTTTAGACTTTCATTGGCCTGTGAACTGCCCAGGGATGACAGCTTTTCTGCTTTATCTATGTATTTCTGCAATAAAGTCATAATGCTGGTCTTCAAATTTACATCAGTGAGGTATCTATTGTATGGCAAGTTTTTTGGTTTATAGGTTAATGGAGATCGTAAATATCCACACCAAGAGTCACAAAAGGAATGGTCACCGAAGACATGTTTCCCTATTGCCAACAAGTTTTTCTTCATTTTTTCCCCATTTCCCTGATGCTGAGACACACAATACTTGAAGCATTTAGATAGATGTCCAATGGTTTTGGCAGTGAGTTCTCGAAAATTCTTGACTTTTTTCAGATCATACAGTTGGTTTGTGAATTCTTTTAGTGTATGGTTCTTGTCACACATTTTTTTCAGATCTGGTTTCACCTCACTTCTGGCTCTTGCAATTGTGGTGGAATCGTTGTCCATAATGATGGTATCTATGGAGACATCCTGTTTGTCTAATTCCCGAAGCATGTTGACACACATATCAGATTCCATTGCCTTCGAACTTCCTTTCCAATTTTGTCTACAGTCATGTTTAGCTGAATCACATTCCCTCCTTTTCCCAACCTCACATGTCCTACAAAACTTGTTGCGTGTTGAAAATGCTATACATTTTCCGGACTTGTTGCCAATAAATGTTGCATGTCCTAAAAAAAGAGGGGCTCAAATAAGCAGAAAACTTATATTGCAGTGTAAGAAAAAAATTAATTTGGATATATGTTCAAGAAATAAAATGTACACAGAGACAATTTTATTTTTTATTTATATGATTCCATTATAATTCCTGCTGTGTGGAAACTGAATTGAATCTTATATCCAGTACTTACCAGATAGGCTACTATATGACCTCCCTGATCCCCTCTTTTGCCATCCACCATCAAATGACACAGATAATCCCTCTGAACTGTCTCTAAAGTATGAATAAATATGTATGTCATGAAGCCTAATATTATTTATTTCATTTGATAGAATTTGATGTTTCAGAGATCTATGTGATACTTTGTTACCTGCAGAACTCTTAGCATTATGGTTTTATATTTTTGTCTTTGACCATAACACTATATATCCCGTAATGCAAATATGGTGCAATTTACGCGCATGATTTTCTGTGCACCGTTTGTGGATGTATTTGTCGAATTTCCATCATTGGTCAATCAACTACCTTTCATTCTCTAGTATTAGGAATATTCTATTCCCAACCTGTATATTTAGTCCACCTCCTAACCATTTATATTCATCTCTACAGGCCATTAAAATCACTTGTTATGAATTTTGTGCCATACAAAGAAAATTCAAAACAAGTGAGTTTATTGGTCTGCAGAAATGACTATAAAGGTTAGGAGGTGGATACAATATACAGGTTGGTAAAATGTCTATAATTTAGGAATGAAAGGTAGTTGATTGACCATGTTGGAAAGTGGAGAAAAACATTCCCAACTGTGCGCAGATAATCATGCGCCATAAATTGCACCATATTTGCATCATGGGATCTGTAGCGTTATGGTCAAAGACTAAAATATAAAACATAACGCTACAGTTCTGCAGCTAATACTTTGTCTGCATGTTATTTACATATACCATGACAAGGAAAGAAAATTTTAATACACTCATTGATCCATATATTCATCTGCATATTTTTGAAGCTAAACATGTATATATTATTAATTACCCTGTCATTTCTTTTTCCTTTGCTGCAGCAGCTGCACAGCTAGTCTGGGCAACATTTTCAACTGCACATCCTATTTCTCTCTCTCTCTCCTTTAGAGTCGTTTTTGAACAGGGGGGAATATTAAGTGTAGATAATAAATTCAACATCTTCCTTTCACCAATGCCACTGTGTAAAATACCTGAATCAAACACAGTTTATATGAGTCATGTTTTTATGTCATGATTTCCTAATGCATTTGTAGTCAAATAGTATGTTTGTAGATTAATTTATTAGTTGACATAAATGATAAATTATAAGTGATTTAAAAAGCAATTTAACTTTTCATTGATTTATTTAGACATATCATATCATAAAACAAAGCTTTAATAGCTTTTACCTAAAGCTAACTTGGTGTTTACATCCCAAACTCTTTTTCCACTTGAAGACTCATTCATCCCATGTCTTTTTCCTGTTGGTACAATGTTTACGCCATCACACAATGTACACCTTATGTATAAAAGAGAGCCTAACCCATATCGTCTCTCATTCACAATATCTGTGATATTCAATGGAAATTTGGAATGACAGACAGAACAACCCTCTAACAGTTTATCAACTAAGAATCCCAGTTCGACTATTCTTCTACCTTGTCTCCAACTAATCACTGTCAAACTGTCTTTGTTTTGATCTACATCTTCATCACTGCTAAAAATGTGTCCGTCACGGGAAGCAGAAAAGTTAACTGACGAGGCACAGTCTGGTGTTTCAGGCACACGTCCTGCACTATCATTACATGTTTCAACATCATTGCGCTTACCAGCATAACTGTGATCAACATTGATATGCTGATTGTCTCTCCCCTGGACACAGCGTTCAATAAAGTCGTCGTTACTTTTCTTTCTTGCTGTTGAAACGAATCTACCTGTTGAGGACGATCTCGCTCGCTTCATGTTTTCCTAAGTAACATACTCTTTTCTGATTTTCACAGTTTAGAGAGTTCTAAAACGGGAGATCACTCATGAATAATTTTACTAGGGGCAGATTACTCTAATTGACCGCTTTATAAGTGAAAAAACCCATGATCTAAACCTTTTTTCTCCGGATTACCGTGACTTGCCAATGTCCTTAATAACACAATGCTTTAGGAGATTTGTTTTACCAATATTGCTAAGAAGAAAATATCACTCCACATTTTGATACAGGTCTCACAAGATTTCAAAATACAAGAAATTTTTAAAAATGAACCTGACAGATTCATAAAATGTTGTTACCAGACAATTTATATTACCAAAAAACCATAAGCAACACATGTATTGGTAAGTACTAAAAGCATTATACTGTTGATATTAAGATGTGAGTTAGATTTTGAATTCAGTTTAGTACATGTACCGAAAATGGGCCTGAGAATGCCGCCTCCAATTGGAGGTGGCGATTACCACTTTTCACAATGGTGCTGGTTCTGACATTTTCCTGGCATGTCAAATATCACTAGAAATATGTCCATAGGACATGAATGCCCTGCCAAGGGTATATTAGTAATGCCACATTTTAACACAAATTGAGTAAAGTGAGGTCAAGGTCAAAGGAAAGGTCAAGGTGAAAAAATTTTGATGCAGTTGAATAGCTTACATCAGTATGTATCAGCATATGAAGTTTGACACTAATTTAAGAAAAGTGAGGTCAAGGTCAAAGGAAAGTTCAAGGTCAAAAATTGTTGATGCAGTTGAAAAGGTTACATCAGTATATATTAGCATATGAAGTTTGATAAAAATAAATATGAATGTTTCTTTAAAGCTGAGCTAAACAATATAAGAAAAGTGAGGTCAAGGTCAAAGGAAAGGTCAAGGTCAAAAAATATTGATGCAGTTGAATAGCTCTCATCAGTATGTATCAGCATATGAAGTTTGACACTAATTTAAGGAAAGTGAGGTCAAGGTCAAGGTCAAAAAATTTTGATGCAGTTGAATAGCTCTCATTAGTATGTATCAGCATATTAAGTTTGATAACACTATCTTGAATGGTATCTTTAAAACTGAGCTAAAAACATATTTAAGAAAAGTGAGGTCCAGGTAAAAGGAAAGGTCAAGGTAAAAAATATTGATGCAGTTGAATAGCTCTCATCAGTATGTATCAGCATATGATGTTTGTTAAAAATATCTTGAATTGTTTCATTAAAACTGAGCTTAACACTAATTTAAGAAAAGTGAGGTCAAGGTCAAAAGAAAAGTCAAGGTCAAAAAATGTTGATGCAGTTGAATAGCTTACATCAGTATGTATCAACATATGAAGTTTGCATGATTACACTACCTTGAATGGTATCTTTAAAACTGAGCTTAACACTAATTTAAGAAAAGTGAGGTCAAAGTCAAAAGAAAGGTCAAGGTCAAAAAATGTTGATTTAGTTGAATACCTTACATCAGTATGTATCAACATATGAAGTTTGATTACACTCTCTTGAATGGTATCTTTAAAACTGAGCTAAACACTTATTTAAGAAAAGTGAGGTCAAGGTCAAAGGAAATGTCAAAGTCAAAAAATGTTGATGCAGTTGCATAGCTCTCATCAATATCTATCAGCATATGAAGTTTGATAAAAATATCTTGGATAGTTTCTTTGAAACTGAGCTTTGAACAGAGCTAAACGCAAAGTGTGACGGGAGGACAGATGGAAGGACAAAAGGACGGAAGTACAAAAGGATGGAAGACGGACATGACAAACACTATATGCCCTGGCCATATTTATGGCAGGGCATAAAAATTATGAAAAAAAACCTGGAAAACATCACCTATTTTTGACTACTGTTGATCCTGAAAGGATAATATGACTACACAATTAGGAATGTAGTAGAATTTTAGCCCAACACCATGGTTCATACTTTATAAAAACTGATATATGTCCATAAGGCACAAATGTCCTGCCCAAGGTTCATTAGTAATGAAATATGAAAATTTGTGTAAGTGCATGAAGTTTGATAAATACATTTTGGAATAGTTTCTTTAAAACTGAATAAAATACACAGTAAATAGTTAAATCAAAGGTCAATGGGTAGGTCAAGATAATTCAAATGTGGACATGATCATTAAATTCTCACCAGATAATGTATCAGAGCATAAATTTACATAAAAATACCTTAAGTAGTCTTTGAAACTGAGCTAAACACAAATTTAGTAAAAGTTTGGAAGGTCAATGAAAGATCAAGGACAAAAAAAATTGATGAAGTTGAATAGCTCTCCTCAATATGTATCAGCAAATGAAGTAAGACAAAATTATTTTAATTTGTTTCTTTAAATCTTTGCTAAACACAAACTTGAGAAAACAAGATCAAAATAAAAGGGAAGGTCACAATAAAAATGTTGATGCAATTGAATAGCTCTCTAAATGAAATTTTGATGCATAAATCTTGTATACCTTCTTTGAAATTTAGCTAAAAACAAATTTAGGCTGTCCTGACCACTCTTTGACAGAAAAATTCTGCAATTTAAATTAAGAAATTTTAGAGCTAATTTTGGGCTAATAACTTATATAAAAATGTTATTAGTTCTTCAATATATTTGAGATGAGTTGTTCTTCAAAATATTTTGCAAAGTTCATTCTTTGCAAATTATATCTTACAATTTTCAACTTAAAATTTAACTTAAAAGTTTTGAATACTGTATATTAATGGGTTGATATTTTAGAGATATTTAGTGACTGATATCCTAAAAGTTGTTTTTTATTAGCTTAATTAATTAATTTTGAGCAATATAGGGATATGGTAACATATCATTTGGTAAGAGGATCATTTTCTGGTAACATGCCAAAAAAAATTAGGGTAGGTAGGTAGGTGATGACTTATTTTTCACTTTTACTCTTTATTTTAAAAGATCCAGCTAATTATTCACTACAATGTTTTTTTGTCATCTATACATATAAATAAATATACAATAAAACAGGTGTAGTCAATATAGGGATATGGTAACATATCATTTGGTAAGAGGATCATTTTCTGGTAACATGCCAAAAAAAATTAGGGTAGGTAGGTAGGTGATGACTTATTTTTCACTTTTACTCTTTATTTTAAAAGATCCAGCTAATTATTCACTACAATGTTTTTTTGTCATCTATACATATAAATAAATATACAATAAAACAGGTGTAGTCTCAGACGCGGATCTAGAGGGGGGTTTGGGGGGGTCCGGACGCCCTGGAATTTGCATAGTGATGAAAAGTATATTTACTGAAGTAATAAGTGGAGACTTCAATGCACGTACTGGACATCTACTTGATTTTATTCCACATGATTCTATAAATGAAACATTTTCTGACTGCCCTGTGCCTCTAGACTATTCACCCGACTCTGTTTTACCACGCAATAATACTGATAGTCAAACCAATCTACATGGTGAACTTTTAACTACTCTGTGTAAAACTTTAAACCTTAGAATTCTTAATGGAAGATTCCTTGGTGATTCCCTTGGTTATTGTACATTTTATAATTTTAATGTTTCTAGTTGTGTTGATTACATGTTGGCTACCAGCCATGTTTTACATAATGTACTGTATTTCAATGTTACGCCACCTTCAGAAGTGTCTGATCATAGCATTATTTGTACTATATTTAAGTGTGGTGCTTTTAATTGCCCAGTTAAATGTGAACCATATATTGAATGCAGATCTACCCCCTTGAAAGGGCAGTACATTTGGTCTAATCAATGTAAACTTGCTTATCAAACAGCCCTTGTTGATGTAGAAAGCTCTAACAGCCTAGTTGAACTTGATAAAAGTCTAAATGAGAAAGACATTAGTATTGATGATATTAACAGTAAATTAACTAAAATATACTTAACAGCTGCATCTAAAACCCTTCTCTTTAAACCACCAATATATAATTGTAAAATAAGAAAAAGAAAACCAAAACCTTGGATGTCTAATGATATATCTCTACTAAAAAGAGAAGTCCGCAAACTTGGAAGAAGAATTCAAATGAATCCAAAAGATTGCAATTTATTACAGGCTTTCACAAATGCTAAACGAGAATTTAACAGAATGAAAAAGAAATCAAAACATGAGTTTTATAAGACAGTAACTGACAACATCGACAACCTAAATCAGAACAATTCAAAAGATTTTTGGAAGGTCCTAAATAAAAATAAAATTAAGCAAAACTCAGATTCTTCCACTCCAGGAC